GTTAGCAATATATTCCTTATATTTGATAAACTAAGCAGGCTGGTAATTAGGCAATAAATTTCTGCAAAGAAAGTTCACACGTTCATCTTTCTAGCATCCGTCCCCTTACTGAGAAATGGGTGAGGTTTATAAAAAGGTGAGAAGGTGACTTTGCAATTCCCATTCCCTTGATATGCTGCAGGAGAGAAACGTTCGTGCCCCAAATCAGAAGGTGGGACACACCCCGATCAAGAGGAAAGTGTGACCAGAGATGATAGGAAAGCTGCTGACTACATTTTTAATTTTTCTATTTTGCACAACACTTTATTTTCTTCACTATATTTCCTTCATTGTTTCTGGCAAACAGCTGGAACCCTGATCTCTCAAGGCTAAAAGAATCAAATATAAAAAAAAAAAAACCAATTAGTCAGTAGAGGCAGAGGATGAAAGCCTTATGAAAACTATAAGAACATTCAGTAATCCCAAACACGAATTAAATTGGATATCTAATCAGCAAATTCTCCCAAAACACTTCTCCCTCAACACTTCCATCTGGACACAGAGACAGATTCCTTACAGAGTGTAAGGAATTCTCTAACAGATGGGAAAATACCTCTGCTGCTTCCTCATAATCCCTTCTGGATCATTTTCCACCATGACAGGTCCTTTTACAATACTAAAGAAGAAACTGATCTCTTAGAAAGGCTTTTCTAGCTCTGTTGTAAGATGAATTCCTCTTGTTGGCCCTTAAAAGGACTGACATGATCACTTCTTCCCTTGTACACTTGGGATCTACATCCCAAAAGAAGTAATATTAAAAATCCTAGCAAAATTACTGCCCTTACAAATTCCAAACTAACCCAGTGTTGACACAAACACATTTTTACTACATGCCTTAACAAAGCATGCCTCACCATGTTAAGTGGTAACTGCAAACTAACTGTATCTCTTCTTGATTCAGCACAGGCAGTATAAAAAGACAAAAAAAAAAAAAAAAAAAAAAAAAAAAAAAACCAAAAAAAAAAACATTACACTTTTTTCCCCTTCTTCTTCCAAAAACCAGTGTTCTCTTCTGACTTGTCCAAAATGCATACAGCCCACCTATACAGTTACTAGCATATAGTTGTAGAGTACATACTACTTTGGTGTTGAAGAAAATGTGTGTGCTTTCAGATCTGTTACAACAGAGTTGTAATAAAGAAAGGTTTGACTCTTCTTCAGAGGATTCCTGTGTCTTATCAAGGTAACTCATGGCTCTCCTATTTAACCTGCTAGAGAAACTCCCTTCCTGTTAGCTGTGCTCATTAGACTTTGCTCAGCTGAGAACTCTGTCACATGCAGCCCGGACGGATCCAGCTGAGGCAACAATCCAACTTCCCTGTAGCCATTGTCCAGGTCTGCAGCTCTGTTACAGGCTATCTGCAAAGCAGCAGGGTCACCAAGGGGAATGTACAGCTATGTCCCAATTCATAGTGTGCTCTATCAGTCTTGAGGATTAAAGAGGATGCAAGCTAGAACACTGCAGCACGTATCGGGTTACTGAGTCACCAGCTTTTTCATCGTTTAATGTTGGAACCAGCACTTGAAACAGTCTGGGAGGAAAAAAAAAATCCTATCCTGAGGAGGAAAACCCACAGAAACATGCAGGACTTCTCTCCAGAAGCAGGGAGTGAGAAAGGACTGCAGTCTGCTGTGATCCCATATCCTCCTGCAGCTTAATCTGGTGTGTACAGACTACCTATTAACAGCAAGATCAGGAGAAAACCTTGCAATTCCAGCCAGTGCACCAAATGACAGAGCAAATTTAACAAGATTTCTCCTCTTGAAAGCTGAAAAATTAGTGCTACTTCAGCTTCAGCTCTGATTCCCTCTTCCTCATATTTAAAATTACTTACATAAAGAAGTGTTTGGAGGTTACCAGAAGACACAGAAAACAGGTGGATAAACTGCCTGGTACATGACAACTTTGCATAGTACAACATTATCCTGGGGCCATGCCCAAGAAAATTACTGGAAACCTACATGTAGGAAAAGAGCTATACCACACAGACATATGAGTAATTACTAGTTGAACCAGAACTAATTCTACAAAGAGCTGTAGAAATTGTTAGCCAAATTGAGTCTGTCATGGCAGATGCTAAAATAATTGCTATGGGAGATTACAGGCCATATCCAAGCAGTTTATTCATTAAAAGTGTAAAATTCAGAATGGCAATGGAAGAGCAGACAAAATGGTAGCAAAAAGAGCACAGTTTTTTAATCAAATAAGCACTACTGCCCTCCTCTGTCACCCTCTAGTTCCCCATTAATACGAACAATTCATGCTTCAGTTACTGCTCAAAACTGCATATGTTTGCTAACTAGCAGGCCTGAACGAATTTCCCTATGACTTGGGTTTGGAAATAACAAAGAATTTTGTAGTGTTTTGTACAGTTATCAGTGTGAAAAATACACAAAGTCATTGTCCCTGCTATAAATCCCTTGCATGGATTAAAAGAGTAGAGTATTGTTAAAAAGCTGTGACAGCTACTGGTTTAAACCAGCAAGGTATTTCAGCAAAGAGTCCTCAAAGATTCACAGAGGTGTTGTTTACAGAAATGTCTGCATGAGTACTTGCAGGGAAAAAAAAAAAATATATATATTCCACATGGAAGGGTTTTTTTACCAAGGGTTGTTTTGCTTGTCTCTGCTAAAGAGAAGAGAAAAGCTCCGAGACAATTTGTCTCCCAGTATGAACTAACCCTTGGCTCTAGTCAGATGCAATTCCTAGCAGAGCAAAAGCTCATTTACGTCCATCAAATTCCACAAGACAGAGGTTATAGAGAATGTTATTGGCAAATAGATCACATGCTGGCTGGCTGCAAAGGTGCATATAGCCCAGCAGAAAGGGTAGCTGCTTGAAGGAGAAAGAAAATGGTTAGACACTAGATTTATTTTGCATTTTTCTCAGAGTTTTGAATGCACGCTGCTAAAATTGGTCTATCCCTTAAAACTGGTCTATCCCTGACCATTGATTACTTGTATATGTGCACCTTCAGGACACAGCAATAAAAGAATACCATTTCATTTGGTACAACTCACTGTAGAGGAAATGATGCATGACATGACACAGATAAAAATAAATATTAGACAATATATTTATACACCAGAACGCTGCATACCAAGAACTCCATAGTAACTCTTACAATTTTATAAGATTGGATGTGTGTGAAAGAAAACAGTGAAATTTGCTTTGCAGCCAGGTTACCAACCTTACCTCATGCTGAATAGTACTTTACTAAAAAGCGCTGTACAAAGCACACCACTCATTTACAGTTCAACATGATGCAGCAGGAGAGAACCTATTCCAAAATGTGGAGTAAAAAGGCTTTTCTACAGATATTATGCAGAAGTTCAGCAGAAGTGATTAAGGAAAACAAGTCTGTAGCCACATTCCCAGACACACAGGGATGTACAAATTAGGTCCTCCCGAACTGCTTCTGGAAGTGACAGCAAATCAACAAAGTGCTGTGGCAGAGAACATGTGAAATCCATTTCAATTAAACAAAGGATTAGGTCACTGTGCAATGTATGTAATGAGTTTTCTTAAGAAAGAAAAGAATTTCTCAAGAAAGTTTTGTGCAGGTCTAAGAAGATCAATGACACAGAGGAAAAAAGGGGGTTCTAAATGTCAAACAGACTTTACAGCCTCTTGGACAAACAAATGAGAAAATCATAGCCTCTCAGGTGAGATATTTCAGCTCCACAGGGTATCCTGAGATAAGAGACAGCAAAACTGGGAATCACAGCTGCCCTGCAAGCAAGCCAGGCACTGCCATGGGAGGAAATAGCATTGCCTCTTGTGTCTCCTTCTGCCTCAGCACCACCAACCATCCCCACCATTCTTCTCTAGGTAGCTGCTTTCATTAAGGAAACACAGCAACTCTGCTAGCCCGATCTGGTCAGAAAGGAATTTATGAATGAAGTGGTTTTTGAAGGCTAGCACAGATTTATCACATTGTAAGGAAAAGACACATTTGAAAAATAGGTTGACAAATTTTCCCAACTATAAGTGTTTCTTCTTGAGTTCAGAATGACTTAGTTTTTCAAACCTAATTCATTATTCCCCTCAACTAGATTTTTCTATAATGTGATTAAATGTCTGTTTTCTGTTGCAAGAATCACCACCCAAAAAATAATAAAATAAAATCATGAGATGACTAGTGCTCTGGTACATATGTATATTTCATATACATGAACATATAAAAAACAGATACACTTGTGTAATTAGCTGATTACCAGCCGTGCTCTGAATCCACAATATTTTTCCCTCAAACTCTCCCCTCTGATTTCAACACTGCAGATGTTCAAAGTGACAGAACTATCAAACACATAGAGGCAGGCAATTTCCAAATGCTCCTGCTGTAACCTCTTCTCTAATCACCTGCTGGAAGACAGCATACTGTGCCACTCAAATAATGTTTACAATTAATATCCCTCTTCAAAATGGCCACTCCAATAAAGACTATTATCCTCTATCAACAGAAGAAAAGTACAATCAGAAGTAGTCACTACTGTCTGTAAATGAGCCATTTTTCTGAAGACTGTATACCACATGCCTCTTCTTCTGCAAAGAAAAGACCTTGCACAAATCAGGAAAATGCAGACACAGGGATATTCCAGTTTGGACACCTAGCATACTTCTGATAGAAAAGTTATGAAAACTGACTTATTTTTATATAAGCTTTTCTAAGATTGTCACTAGACCTAATTTCTTACCCAGAGCTTTTGTCGTTTATTCAAATAGATACACTTTAAAGCTAAGCTTTTATCAGCTCTTAAACTATATCTGATATATATGTATAAAAAAAGCACTGTTCTGACAGCCACCTTCTCCTCAGGTCATTGCATGTTGAACTTTACACAGCAGCCTGGAGATGAGGAAATTGAACTGTAACAACAAGTTGAAATAATGTTTGGGAAATGCCTCATTACATCATACATTAATTTTTTGCTTCCCCTACAGACAAGAAGCAACAGACCTTACATTAGGGTCCTGCAGACTGGAGGTCTTACTGGGATTTACAAAAGAGGTCTCTTCTTTCACAGCCTGTTAAAAGAAGGAGCCAAAGTTTAGTACAAGGTCCATGCATTTAGGATAATACAACTGCTTATTAAAAAAGTATTCCTGTAAGCACCTCAGAAAACTGCAGTACCCAAAATGCCTACTCTGCCCAGATTTTAAAGACATGATCTTTTTGGATTTTCATCTCCTAGAGCTGAGATTCACTGTGATGAGCAGCAATGTACAATGTGCAGGGCAATAGTGTAAGGGAGAGATTGGTACTGGAGGAGAAAGAAAGGAACACTGACATTGATGGCTCCTCCAGAAAGCACTTGAAAAGAAATCATACAAAGTCTACACAGACATACTGTAATTGAGCTGTCCTTTCAATTGGAGTAGAATAAATATTTATTCTGAAATAATGATGCCAACTTTTCCTCCAGTTTTTGAAAACCTAACTGAAAAATGTGATCCCCTACATATATTCACAGTGCATGCACAATTCACAGAAAATTTCACCCACTACTGCTCTCTGCTAAATTACAGAGTCCTGCCTCTCATATGCCATTTGTCTGTCGATCTGAAAATACTAGTATTGCAAAATAACTTACATGGAAATTGCTTTATCACCTAGGAAATGCCCAATCTAGGCAGGTATTGATATACTCTTCATCTGAGAGGCAGTATTCCCAATCCATGTGTAAATGCCAGTGTGAGGACAACACTGCCCCCACTACAGAAAATACTGACTACAGAGACAAGAGTATTTCCAAATCAGTCAGGGACTTCTCAGACTTTTGACATTTGCACCCCACTACTGAACAGAAGGGGACTGAAATAGTCCCACAACAGAGTGGTTTTTCAGTGTTCAGTATCTGAACCACAGTAATTTGAGGCCATAGGTCCAGATCAAATTAAATTAAATGTGTCAGTCTAATCTTCTTAAAAAAGGATGAAACAGATTTCTTCAAATCCATCAAAACCAAATCAAAGGATTTTACAGATATGTAAAAATATTGTAATGTTACATAAGACCTTCCATTCAATAAAAATTTATATATTCCATTTGTGGGTACTCATAAGAAAAGGAAACAAAATCAAAGCGGAGTTTCTTCTATACCTTAGCAATGAACTAAAATAAAATATCAGTAGGGATACTCAATGCTTGGGGAAATCACCCAAGCTGTGTTGGGTTTGTTTTCCCCTTGTGCTAGAGGGAACAGAACCCTCATTGCCATTTCCCAGATCATTATTTACCAGATCATCAGCCATGGTGGGAAGGGACTGTTCCAGTTTGTATGCACAATTAACTGTATGGGCAATTAAACTGGAACCACTGGGAGCCTGACAGAAAGTGAACTCCGCTCTGGGTCTTCTCCAGCCCAGGCAAGAACCTGAAGTGATGGGTTAGAGGGCATTTTGAGACAAGTCCTTTAGTAGGAAGTTCATCCCTTCCTATTAGAATTGTTGAACCTTGTATGTTGATACCAAAGCCCCCATCTGCAGAGAGGGGGCCCTCTGACCCTCATCAGCAGCTTTATCCCACTCCTAGGGGGCTAGTTTACACAGAGGAAGCTGGTTTGCAGCTAGGTTACTTGGAGGAGAACAGGATCAGCAGTAGCTACAAGGAGAAGCTCCCCTCCAATGTAGTGCCCTTACATATTTGGTTTTAATCTTCCTCAAGCAGAGGTTTTCTCAGTCCTGCATAAACACTCCAGAAATTAAGGAATCAGATAAATGTGGGACATAATCACACCATGATTGCAACTCAGCCACCAAATGTTTTGCTGCTAAGGTTTTCAGTGAATTAGTGTCACATCATAAACCATTTGGGGATCAGAAGTGCAATTTTAAAATTTTAATAAATTTGTAGCTTTAAGAAATTCAGCTCAGGTTTAGAAAACATTTTTTACTAGTCTTCTAGTAGCTCTGTCTAGCAGAATGTTTATTCAAAATCTATTGATTTCTTGAAAGGAAAGAAAAAAGTTTTTAAGGACTTGAGAGAAAGCATTGAAAATCATTTTTTGCCACAGATGAGCAGTGGAAGCAATATTTCTTTGTTCTACAGAAATTATAATGCTTTTTATAAAGCTGTTTGGTTTCTGAAATCTGTAAATGTGAATCCAGCTGTCAGAAACCTAATACAAGGTCTCTTGTTCCACATTGATGTCTTAGCAACATTTTATTGTTAAGCCTGTCAAGCTAGCTGCTTATTATGTGTCAAATTGGTTACTTTTTAAAACTATAAATTTTAGTTCATTCCAATTTTCACCAAAGCAATTGATCTGCATTTCAAGATGCACTTGAACACAACAATAGAAAAGAGATTACATAGATCAAGAATGCAATGCAGGGGTTGTGACCAGCAATGAGATTTTTAAAATTCCACCTACTTAAATGTAATATGCCATGGATCTCATTAGCCAGCTGAGAGGACTTCACTGTGTTAGACCCTTGGTGACTTCTCAGCTCTGTGACTACATTATTTCTCCTTTTGTCTTCTCTCCATTGGAAGGCTAAGACTGCATCTCAGAAGTCATATGTTCCTAAGCAGCATGACCAGCATCCTCCATCAATGAGGAATTTCTCTTGGTACTAATTTTTCTCCATTATTACTAATGTTTGAGAGATCAGAAAATACTCCTATACCCACAAATAAGCACTGCAGACCAGTGAGCAAGTAATCCCACTCTAAATTGTAAGGAGAGAGGGAGCTTGTGAAGAAATGGGGGGGCCTGAACAGCCTCAGGTGATGAGGCCTGAGCTCAGGGTGCCATAGACGTGCACTGGCAGGTACAGACTAACAAGGATGGGCTCATTCTTCTCACCTTATGTGTCTCCTCCCTATCTGTGGATGAAGAGACACAGGAAAATGTTATACTTGCAAACCCTTCTGCAAAGGGCTTCAGCTGTCAGAAAGTGTACCACCCCTGCTTCACTTGAGGGCTTACTGGCTTTTGGGTTGTTTGTTTCAGAATGAGGTCAGTAAGTCATCAACTGGCAGCCTGTTGCTTTTATTTTTCTTCTTAACACTGCAAATCACATTCACTAATCACAGAAGTACTTTTGCAGCCTTACTGAAAAGACACGACTGTAGAACAAGGGTTATGCCTGTAGAGGCAGAAGCAAAGCATGAAGCTGCTTAGATCTTAACTAAGGCAGATTCTCCCCTCCCACAGAGGCTGCTACTCTGAGGGAGAGATTTCAGGGCACAGCAGACCTGGAAGCCCAATTTATACAGAAGCAGATTAATTTAATAATTACCCAAAGAGAAACAAGTTTCTCTTCTGGCTACCAGACTGCAAACCAAATTAAAAGTTGATCCATATAATCCATCCACACAATGCCATTCTCTATTTTTTTTATCTGCATCAGGCCCAGAGGAAAAGAAAAATCATTAATGTTCTGTTTTCATATGCCATTAACTTTCTGGATGATATTAGAAACAAAGAATTACTTTATCATATTAAGCCTTACTTTATACTATTTAGGGACAAGAAACATGACTGGGCAGCAATGCCATTGTGCAGGCTCTCTTAACAGATGATTGCTAAGAAATAGTTTCACCAAAGGATGAAAAGAGGAGAAAAGTATCTAAATTTTGCCCACAGCTCTCTGGGCCATCTACCTATGGGCAGCTGGGAGTTCTCAGACTACTTTTCAGTCAGCTCCTGAGCAGTGCTAATCCCTGCCGCTGTCTTGGCAGCCAGGTCCTTTGGAGCCTTAGAGAGGGGGTGGATGCTCCAGGGATGCTACACCAGACTCTGCTGAGCTTTCTAGAGGGGGTGGGAACACTTTCTGGCCCATGAGAGTAATCACATGCATGAATTCATAAACCCTGGTGGCTGGATTTGCCTAGTGAACAGCAGCTCCTTCAATTTTCTTCTGAAGAAAGAGTTAGCCCCAGGGTAATGGAGGACAGAACCTTAAAATGGGAATTGGGTGCACCAAGCATGTACCAAGAGGGAAAATACAGTAAAGACAGAACTTTGGGTGCAGCCTTCTGTGATTTTTGCCAGTCTGTGCAAAGCAGTCTGTGTTCTTCATGCCTCAAGCAAGCACCATGGTGTGCTAGTGTCATCTGTGTCCCTCCTCCTTCACAAGGGGCATTGCTGTGGCTCTCACCTCTACTGATCCAAAATAGGAGTACCTTGGATAAGCAAGAAAACTGCATGAAGAATCAGATCACTGCAGCCAAAGGGGAGTGCCAGGTTCTCATCTGAGAAAGACAAGGGTCTAGAAGGCTCATAGGAAACAGATGATGGCTCTTATTTAGCCATTTCACAAAGTTCTCAGTTGCAGAAAGGAAGGGAGAGCAACACAGCTTTCACATGTTTGGAGATCTTCAAAGGTAAGGAAGGAAGGACTCTCACTGCAGTGGCCTGGAAATACTTCTCTATCTTGGCTCTTTCTGAATCTGCAATGATGGTAAGGAGGCCTGAATCATATTTGATTTTTCAGGTCTTTATCAACAATTTAATCTTTTGTCAGGCATGCCAAATGTTGGCTGATCTCATTAGATAATACAGACTAAGGAACAAGTCATCAGGAAGAATGTTCTGCCAAGGTAAATCTACCTTGGTGATTTAATATGTCAAATGTAACTTTTCAGGCAGAAAATGATGTTTATGTCTCTTGGGAACAGACTACTCTGTTTTTTCCCCTCTGAATGAGGCCTGGCACCATGGGCTATGGCGGGGCTCTTACACATCAAGGCAATTAACTGTACTTGTCTCATCATGTCCTGGCACGTAGAGTCACGCCAGAGAGGAGACAAAGCTGACACACCCACAGCTCTGGGAGTCTTCTGACACCACTGCCACATTTGCCTCCACTATCCCAGGGAATAAACTGAAGATCTCATCAGTTCTCATGTTCTGTTTATATAAATCTTCACTCCCCTTCTGTACCTCCAGCAAGGCTGCCACATCATTTCCTCAGTTCCTTCCCCGAGTTTGAGGTATCATTGCTGACACACTTCTAATGAGCTGCCATGTATCCTATATTCATTACACACAATCAAAATCTTGTAGTTTTATACCTGT